CTCATGCCTGTATTCTCAGCTACTCGGGAGGCAGAGGTGGGAGGATCGCTTGAGGCTGGGAAGTCGAGGCTGCAGTGAGCCATGATCTCGCCACTGCATCCAGCCTGAGCGACAGAAAGACTCTGTCAAAAAAAAAAAAAGGCAGTGGAGAGAAAAATATTCAGTAAACAGCAACACAGGTGGTCCTGGGAGGACGCAAAAACCCGCAAGCTGATGTTATGTTTGGGAGGAAAGACCTCAAAGACGCGGGGTTTTCGGCAGCACCAAAGACCAAAGACAGGGCTCTTCTTAGCTGCCCAGTTTAGTCATTCCTGGAGGTGTCACCTTGGATAAGTCACTACACTTCTCTGGACCATTTTTCTTTCTTCTGTATGGAACTGTAGAAGCATTGTGACAAACCACTGAGAAGAGAGATGGAAGAGTTTGGAAACATCTTTAAGTAGTTTTCTTGAAAGGGCAGGATAGGAGATACTTAAACATGATCCTAATCATGATCCTTTCATTCATACATATATATGAAATTATATTTTGTGATATAGTGGTGTAAAATAAAAATAAACACCACTTAGGCTGAATTATCTCCTCCTTCTTTCTTCTTCTTATTTTATAGAGATGGGGGTCTTGCTGTCTTACCTTGCCCAGGCTGGTCTTGAACTCCTAGCCTTAAGCGATCCTTCTGCCTGGTCTTCCAAAGCTATATTCCCCTTTCTTTTCTTTTGATTTATATATATAAAAATCAGGGCTCAAGCGATTCTCCTGCCTCAGCCTCGTGAGTAGCTGGGACTACAGGCATGTGCCACCACGCCCGGCTAATTTTTGTATTTTTAGTAGAGACAGGGTCTCACCATGTTGGCCAGGCTGGTCTCGAACTCCTGACCTCAGGTGATCTGCCCACCTCAGCCTCCCAAAGTGCTGGGACTACAGGCGTGAGCCACCGCGCCCAGCCTAAAATAAATGTTTAAATGTTGTGGGTCGCTAAGAGTATCATGGGCCCTAGGCACTGTATCTGCTACTGTGTTGAATGCATAAGTCAGCCCTTTCTGTCCAGGTTTCCTAATTTGCAAAATGAGGATGATAAGAAAACCTACTTCACACAGTTGCTATGATGATTACAGAAGTCATTATATATAAAGTATTTTGGACAATGTATGGCACACAGTAGGTGCTATGAGTTAGCTATAATAATTACTACCATTTGGCACTCCCACTAGCAATAAATAGGGACCTCTGTTGCTTAACATTCTTATCAATATCTGATAGTCAAACTTTAAAATGTTCAGTAATCTCTTGGTGTGAAATCATTTCATTTCATTTCTTTTCTTTTTTTTTTGAGAAACAGCCCAGGCTGGAGTGCAGTGGCGTGATCTCAGCTCACTGCAACCTCCGCCTCCCTGATTCAAGCAAATCTCCTGCTTCAGCTTCCCGAGTAGCTGGGACTACAGGCGCCCACCACCACGCCTGGCTTTTCTGTATTTTTGGTAGAGACGGGGGTTCATCGTGTTAGCCAGGATGGTCTCGATCTCCTGACCTCATGATCTGCCTGCCTCACCTCAACCTCCCGAAGTGCTGGGATTACAGGCGTGAGCCACTGTGCCTGGTCTATTTCTTACTGAGAAGCTCTTTATTAAAAGAGATCATTTATAGCACACAGAACTCATCCCCCAGTTTCCCTTTTTTGGGAGCTGGAAGTATGTCATCTCTGCATCCCTATAGAGAAGGCACGTATATGCCTCAGTGAGTGTTTGGTGAATGAACGAGTGAGAAATTGAATTCATGCAGGTGGAAGAATTTTGTACCAGAGCTTAAGGCTATTGAGTATTTTTTTTCCCTTTTTTTCTCCCTAACCTCGCTAAAGCTATTAAATATTCACAGAGGAGAGCACTGTTTAGTGGAATTACCATAAGCTTTCAAATCAGGCAAACCTGGGTCCAGATCCATTTGTCCACTTGCTGTGCAACTCTGGGCAAGCAACGTCCCCTCTAAGTGTCTAGCTGACATCTACAAAGTGGGCACCATAATGCCGTTTGGCAGGGTTGTAGTTAGAATGCCACCAATTGAGAATGCTGAAGGTCTATGTGATGCCTGGAACCAACTGGTGCTCAATAAATGTGGGTTCTGGCTGGGCGTGGTGGCCCCGTCTCTACTAAAAATACAAAAATTAATGTGCACAGTGGAGCGTGCCTGTAGTCCCAGCAACTTGGGGAGCTGAGGCAGGAGGATTGCTTGAGCTTGGGAAGTTGAGGCTGCAGTGAGCCAAGATCACGCCACTGCACTCTGGCCTGGGTGACAAAGTAAGACCCTGTCTGAAAAAATAAACATAAAATAAATATAAAATTTTAAAATTTAAAAACAAATCTGGGTTCCTTGCCTTTTCGTCTGTTGTCTGGTTTCTGAGTCCCTCAGTGCCTAGCAGAACACTAACAGACTACTGCATGACTTGAGGCCAGAAGCCCGGCTACACAGAGCCATTAGAAAATTGCAAGAGGATTTTAGTGGGGCGCAGTGGCAGGTGCCTGCAATCCCAGCTACTCAGGAGGCTGAGGCAGGAGAATCGCTTGAACCGGGGAGGCGGAGGTTGCAGTGAGCCCAGATAGCACCATTGCACTCCAGCCTGGGAGACAGAGCAAGACTCCATTTAAAAAAGAAAGAAAAAAAAAAAAAAAAAAAAAAGAAAGAAAGAAAAGAAAAGAAAACGAAAAAGAAAAAGAAAATGGCAGGAAGAGTCTTGGACTTGGAATCAGAAGATTTGCCTCGCTTCTTTCCATCTCTACCTTCCTGTAAAACCTGAGCACTTCACTTCTCCTCACGGAGCCTAGATTTCCTGCCTTTTAAAAGAAATTGGCTGATAGAGTTAGTTAGATGGCTCTGCAATTCCTCTCCCTTTCATTTTTCTATGTACCCAAGAAAACTGAAATATACGTGCACACAAAAACTTGTAAACAAATGCTTGTAGCAGTATTATTCATAACAGCCAAAAAGCAGAAACGACCCAAATGTCCATAAACAACATGTGGTATATCCATAGAGTGGAATACTATTTGGCCATAAATGAGTAAAATACTGATCTGTGTGAAAACATGGATGAACCTTTATGCTAACTTAGAGGCTGGGAAGGGTGTGTGGTGGAAGCGGGGACAAATGAAGGTTGGTTAATGGGTACCAACATACAGCTACATAGAAGACATACTTTTTTTTTGCGATGGAGTTCTGCTCTTGTTGCCCAGGCTGGAGTGCAGTGGCGCGATCTCGGTTCACGGCAACCTCCGCCTCCCGGGTTCAAGCAATTCTCCTGCCTCAGTCTCCTGAGTAGGTGGGATTACAGGTGCCCACCAGCATGCCTGGCGAATTTTTGTGTTTTTAGTAGAGACGGGGTTTCACCATCTTGGCCAGGCTGGTCTAGAACTCCTGACCTCGTGATCCACCCGCCTTGGCCTCCCAAAGTCCTGGGATTACAGGTGTGAGCCACTGTGCCCAGTCTGTATATTGCAAAGTAGTTAGGAGAGAGCACTTGAAATGTTCCCAACACATAGAAATGATGAACACTCAAGAATGGTGGTTACCCCAAATGCCCCGATTTGATTGATCATTACACATTCTATGCATGTCACAAATACTCACATGTACCCCAAACTATGTAAAATATTATGTGTCAATAAAATAAAATTTAAAAATAGATTAAGTGAAAGAAGCCAGGCACAAAGGACCACATATTAGAAGACTATTAATACCAGAATAGGGTAATCTGTAGCGGCAGAGTGTAGCTTTGTGGTTCCTTAGGGTGGGTGGGGATAGAGAGTTGGAGGGAAGGAAGAATAGAGGAGTGATACCTAAAGGGCATGGGATCTCTCTTTGAGGTGATGAAAGTGTTCTAACGTTGACATCGTGATATTTGCACACAACTATGAATATACTGACTATTGAATTATACACTTTAAATGGGTGAGTTGGGTGGGGTTCAGTGGCTCATGCCTCTAATTCTAGCACTTTACGAGGCAGAGGCAGGAGGATCCCTTGAACCCAGGAGTTCCAGACCAGCCTGGGCAACACATCACCACAGCCATCTCTACCAAAAACAAAACAAACAAAACCAAAACACAAACGCAAAAAAAGCGCGGTGTAGTGGTGCATGCCTGTAGTCGCAGCTACTTAGCAGGTTGAGGTGGGAGGATTACCTGAGCCCAGGACGTTGAGGCTGCAGTGAGCCATGACCGTGCCACTGTAATCTAGCCTGGGCAACAGAGCAGCCAGACCCTGTCTCAAAACTAACTAAATAGGCCGGGCACGGTGGCTCACGCCTATAATCCCAGCACTTTGAGAGGCCAAAGCGGGTGGATCACCTGAGGTCAGGAGTTCTAGACCAGCATGGCCAACATGGTGAAACCCTGTCTCTGCTAAGTAAATAAAAAAACAAACAAATTAGCCAGGCCCACGTGGTGGCACACGCCTGTAATCCCAGCTACTCGGGAGGCTGAGACAGGAGAATTGCTTGAACCCAGGAGGTGGAGGTTGCAGTGAGCCAAAATCGGGCCACTGCACTCTAGCCTGGGCAACAGAGTAAGACTCCATCTCAAAAAAACTACAAAGAGGCCGGGCACAGTGGCTCACGCCTGTGATCCCAGCACTTTGGGAGGCTAAGGCAGGAGGATCACCTGAGGTCAGGAGTTTGACACCAGCCTGACCAGTATGGTGAAACCCCGTCTCTATTAAAAATACAAAAATTAGCCAGGCATGGTGGCAGGTGCCTGTAATCTCAGCTACTCAGGGGGCTGAGGCAAGGGGAATCGCTTGAACCCAGGAGGCAGAGGTTGCAGCGAGCGGAGATCACACCACTGCACTCCTGCCTGGGTGACAGAGCAAGACTCCATCTCAAAATAATAATAATAATAATAATAATAATAATAATAATTGGCTGAACATGATGACCTTTCAGGATCAAACTGTAGATGCTATTTAAAAACTATAAACCTGGTATGGTAAGTATATGGATGTTCACTATGCGATTCTTTCAACTTTTCTATATATTTGAAATTTTTCATAATAAAATGTTGGTGTGGGAGCCTGTAGACTGTTTTTGTAATCTGAATTTTGAAAACCTCAAATCAATTCCATGATAATTCTCATGATACTGTCAGTTCCCTGAAGGTAGACACCATGTTCACATCTTCACCTCCCATATCTCTGACGTCCACACTAGTGTCTGGGAGTATTCAGATATTCAATACACATGAATTGAATTAGTGAATCAACACATAAGTGTATTGAATGTGAAATGAATACAGAGATGAATAAGTAGCTGGTAACAATGGCCGTCTGAAGTCCTACGCCAATAGTAATCCTCAGAGATCCTCCTCAAACCTTCCTGTTCGATCTGCAAAGTAACAATAACATTAACAATAATAGCTAATATATATTGAGCGCTCACTGACTGTGAGGGGAGGCAGGTCCAGATTTTGCAGAAAGCGAAGCTTATCCAATTAAGAAAAAGAGTACTAAGCTAAAAATACAAAATAAGATACGCAAGCGAACATTTAGTATGAGAAAATAAATCCCACCTAATGACATTTACAAGATGACAATTACCATATGCAACCTCCAATTACAAAGCATACAAGACATTTTTATTAATTTACAACCTTACACAGCTCTGTAACACTTTCCTCCCTGCATCCTTCGATCTGTATTTCGTACCACAACAATTTACAGTTTAAGCAAGTTTTATTTCAGATTCAGGACAGTTGCAGATTTAGCACGGTCGAGTTTGGGAAAATCAAAATCACGTTTCTTTCAGGTATGAATTTAAGTTTACAAGGCATGGCAAACTTTTTTGAGCAGTGACTAATCTTAAATATTCTTTGAATTGTTGACACCCACTAGGTAGAGAAGTGGTCGTGCCCGCGAGGAGCCTCGGAAGGTTAAGCTTTGTTAGCTTCGTGGTAAATCCACCTGAACAGCTACGTTTAACGACTTTTAAGGGAAAGAATCATATCCGCTTTGCTACACGAAAGGGGGTATCCTGAGAGGTAAGACTGGACTCCGGCTTGGAACCGGATTGTGGGGGTCCTCCACGCCTCTCTCAGGACCCTTCTTGTCGCTACCTACCCCGCCTATCTTCCAACAGAAAAACACGGAGGTTCCCAGAACCGAGAGTCGGGAGCCCCAGCTGGCTCCTGGCTGGTTCTGAGCGAGTTCCTCCCCATTCTGGCGCCTGAGGTTTTCGTCTGTGTGATGAGGTGGGCACATCCCGATCTCCCCGTTGGTTCCCAGCGCTGTCAGAACAAAAATGAACGAGAGACAGGAAGCCCCTCGGCGGAGCGTGATCGTTTGGGGAGTTGGGGGGCGGAGGGGTCCCCACTTACTGAAGGGGGTGGGGTGGGTCAGAGCGGAGAGCGGCTCCTTCCTCTCGGAGCCTTGTGTTTCCAGCCGGAGCGTTTTCGCAAAGGGCCCGAAACGCGCTCCTTTTTCCCAGGGACTCTCCCCAGTCACGGCCCGAGCCTTTCCTAAAAGCACTCTCACTGGCCGCCGTTTCCTCTCGGCTGGACCAGAGAGGCAGCCTGGATAGCCGACCCAACCCACCTAGGACCCGCTGGCTCCAGTGCTGAGGAGCTTAGAGAAGGAGAAGTTGTAACAAGGCAGATGGCTGGGCCTGGGGAGATGGGGGAACCATAGAGAGGCGGGCGGGTAGAGGGGCCAATGTGGGAGTGCAGACGAGAGGAAGCCTGCGGGTAGATGGGCAAGAAGGGAAAACACTAGAGACGCGGGACGGCTAGATGGGCCGTCAGGAGCGAGATGCAGTGTGGGGCGGGCCGCTGGCCTCCGAAGGCGGGAACGGAAAACGGATCTCCTTGGGTTGAGGGATGTTGGCATGTCGGGAGGTCTTTAGTCTCAGTCCAACGCTAGCAGCGTGCCCTAGAGCCGTGAACTCTTAGTCGGCTTCATATTATTTGTCACTTGTAAAACAGGAATGATTCTGTTACCGCTCAGGGTGATGAAATAAAATCATGTATGAAAGGACTAAGCATAGTGCCTTTGCACAGATAATATGGGACACCTGGGAACGGCTGCTATTATTTTCCCACTCTGAAGTTCTTCTGCAGCTCTGAAGTTCATCAGGGAATTAAAACTAGGCACTCGTGCATTAAAAAAGAGAGAGAGAGAGAGAGAGAGAGATCTGAGGATTCCCATATAATCACTCTCAAGGTGTCTCCGTCTCTAAAGCCTCGTCCCGAGCTCAGACTTCATTCTTTCTCATGTGGGTCACAGTATCAGCCAGCCTCCTCCTCCCTTCCCTAGTCTCTCAGCTCCCAACTCAGCCGCTGAACATAGACAGATCCTTTTTGTTTGTGTGTTTGTTTGTTTGTTCTGTTTGAGACGGAGTCTCGCTCTGTCGCCCAGGCTGGAGTGCAGTGGCGCAATCTCGGCTCACTGCAAGCTCCGCCTCCCGGGTTCACGCCATTCTCCCGCCTCAGCCTCCCGAAAAACTGGGACTACAGGCGCCCGCCACCACGCCTGGCTAATTTTTGTGTTTTTAGTAGAAACAGGGTTTCACCATGTTGGCCAGGATGGTCTCGATCTCTTGACCTCAGGTGATCCACCCGCCTCGGCCTCCCAAAGTGCTGGGATTACAGGCGTGAGCCACCGCGTCCGGCCAAGTCCAGGTTCTTTAGTCTGGTAGTTGTGGATGTCTCCACCAGCATCGTCCCCTGCTTGGTCCATTGTGTGTGCTCAGTTGCCCTGAAAGATGGACAGTTCTTTAGGCTCTTTCGGTCCTGGCTTTTATACCCACTTCCCCATCTTGGCTAACTCTCTTGTGTTCTCCAAGACAACTCAGATGTCACACTGGAAAACCTTTCCAATTCTATTCCTCTCCCCTGCTGAGTCAAGTGGCCCTTCTGGCCTCTTGCACCTGTCATTGCACTTATGACCCTGCATTATGATTGCCTGTTTGTTTACCTGTCTACTTCTGGAGACCTGTCTGTCCAATATGGTTAAGTTACTAGCCACATGTGGCTTGAAATTGTATTAGGCCAAATTGAAACATGCTGTAAGTGGAAAATAGACACTAGATATCCAAGATTTAGTACAACGAAAATGAATGTAACGCAACTCAGTAATTTTTATACTGCTTATATGTGAAAAGTTTTGGTAATATTTTAGATAGGGTGGGTTCAATAAAATGTTATTCATATGCACTTCACCTGTTTGTTTTTTACTTTATCAATGTGGCAACTATTAGACAGAGATAATTATATATGTATATTTACACTGGCTAGCATATACATAGAAGACTATAGGTGTAAGTATTTCCTTGCTCTGTTGGCTGAAAGGGCTTAGAAGCCATGATGCCCCAGCAGCAATGAGCACACTAAGCACCCAGGTGTTGGTTTCTGATACCAATCTCCCAGGACTCCTTGGGGAAATGATGGTAGGAATGGGACAGGAAACATACAAGATGGGCCCAAACGATCTTCTTTTTCTTTTTTTATTTTTTGGTTTGTTTGTTTTTTGAGACAGAGTCTCGCTCTGTTGCCCAGGCCAGAGTGCAGTGGCGTGATCTTGGCTCACTGCAGCCTCCGCCTCTTGGGCTCAAGCGATTCTCCTGCCTCAGCCTCCCAAGTAGCTGGGAACACAGGTACCTGCCACCATGCCCGGCTAATTTTTGTATTTGTAGTAGAGACAGGGTTTCACCATGTTGGCCAGGATGGTCTCGAATTCCTGACCTCAAGTGATCCGCCTGCCTCGGCCTCACAAAGTGCTGGGACTACAGGTATGAGCCACTGCGCCCAGCCCCTTTATCTTTTTCTTCCTTTCTTTCTTTTTTTTTTTTTTCCTGAGATAGGGTCTTGCTTTGTCACCCATGATGGTGTGCAGTGCCACAGTCATTGCTCCCTGCAGCCTCGACCTCCTGGGCTCAAGCGATCCTGCCACCTCAGCCTCCTGAGTAACTTGCACTACAGGTGTTCACGCCATCACACCCGGCTAAGTTTTGTATTTTTTTGTAGAGACAGGGCTTCACCATGTTGCCCTGGCTGGTCTTGAACTCCTGGGCTCAAGTAATCCTCCCACCTTGACCTCCCAAAGTGCAATCCTCCCACCTTGACCTCCAAAAGTGCTGGGATGACAGATGTGAGCTACCATGTCTAGCCGCCATAATTTCTGTTTTTTTTTTCTTTTCTTTTCTTTTATTTTTGAGAGCGAGTCTCACCCTGTCACCCAGGCTGGAGTGCAGTGGCGTGATCTCAGCTCACTGCAACCTGCGCCTCCCGGGTTCAAGCAGTTCCCTGACTCAGCCTCCTGAGTAGCTGGGATTACAGGTGTCTGCCACCACACCCAGCTAATTTTTGTATTTTTAGTAGAGACAGGACTTCACCATCTTGGCCAGGCTGGGTTCGAACTCCTGACCTCCTGATCCACCCACTTCGGCCTCCCAAAGTGCTGGGATTACAGGCGTGAGCCACCGCGCCAGGCCTACTGCCATAATTTCATTCAACCTCTCTGGTCCTCAGTTTCCTTATCTGTGAAATGTTAGTGCTGAATTTGAGAAACCAAGGGGCCTTCTTCTTCCAAATTCTAGTCGTGAGTTAGGTAAGATTCTTTAGTGAGGCTGAACGAGTCTTTGAACTTGAGTTTCTGTAGGCTAGAGGAAACAGTAGTCCCCTACCTACTTCTCCCAGGTTCTAAGGTGGGTGAGACATTTTGATATTTTGGTCTTTGTCGCCCCCACGAGGCCTAGGAGGGTTCCCTATCGCCCCAGGTGTCCAATAAAGATCAATCCGCCAGGTGCTGTGGCTCAGGCCTGTAATCTCTGCACTTTGGGAGGCCGAGGAGGGCGGATCACCTGAGGTCAGGAGTTCAAGACCAGCCTGATCAACATGGAGAAACCCCGTCTCTACTAAAAATACAAATTAGCCCGGCGTGGTGGCGCATGCCTGTAATCCCAGCTACTCCGGAGGCTGAGGCAGGAGAATCGCTTCAACCCGGGAGATGGAGGTTGCAGTGAGGTGTGCTGAGATCATGCCGTTGCACTCCAGCTTGGGCAACGAGAGCGAAACTCCGTCTCAAAAAAAAAAAAAAAAAAAAAAGAAGAAGTGAGAAAGATTTACTTGCCACCTAGGGTAACTGCTGGTCTTCTTTCCCCTATTAGTGTAACTCAGTGTAATCTATTTCAACTCTGCACCTGCTGGACTTTGTGAATGGGGAGTTTACTCTCTGGTCTCAGTAGCCCCATCGATAAAAGGGAATAACTTATCTCCTCCTTGTCAACAGCCAGATGGTGGTGATTTGCCAAATCTAAGACATCTATTTTCTTGCCTTGTTCTTCTTTATTTTTTCCCTCTCAGTTTTAAAACTGGATAGCCCCAAGACTTCTTCCAAACCAGGGTGAGTTGCTCACCTATTTTGTCCTCACTTGTATCCTTAAGTGCAAACTGTCATTACCTTATTGGCCACCAGGGGGTGCCCTACACATATAGTACTGTGGTTAAAGAAGCTGGCTCAGGAGAAAGCGAAGAACCAGGGCCCAGTTCCCAGCCTTGCCCTGAGTTCCTACAAACCTTCAAGGGCCTGCTCTACTTCACAGAGCATCATGTCTCACACTCAGCATCCTCCTGGCCTTATGACATGAACATGTGTGTGGTCCTGTGGAAAAGTCTTTAAGTACTCCAGCCGCCTCTGCCACCTGGGTGGATGATCACTGACTCTCTGTCCATTGTTCCCAACATTTCCAGGAGGTGGCTCAGCATATCCCGGCTGGCTGCGGAGGCTGAGGCCACATACTTTATTTATTTATTTATTTAGAGACGGAGTTTCGCTTTTTTTTCCTTTTTTTTTTTTGAGATGGAGTCTTGCTCTGTCGCCCAGGCTGGAGTGCAGTGGCCCGATCTCGGCTCACTGCAAGCTCCCCATCCCGGGTTCTTGCCATTCTCCTGCCTCAGCCTCCCCAGCAGCTGGGACTACAGTCGCCCGCTGCCATGCCCGGCTAATTTTTTTTGTATTTTTAGTAGAGACGGGGTTTCACCGTGTTGGCCAGGATGGTCTCAATCTCCTGACTTCGTGATCCGCCCGCTTCGGGCTCCCAAAGTGCTGGGATTACAGGCGTGAGCCATCGTGCCCGGCCAGGAGTTTCACTCTTGTTGCCCAGGCTGGAGTGCAATGGCGCCATCTCGGCTCACTGCAACCTCCGCCTCTCGGGTTCAAGCGATTCTCCTGCCTCAGCCTCCCAAGTAGCTGGGATTACAGGCATGTGCCACTTCGCCCTGCTAATTTTGTGTTTTTAGTAGAGATGGGGTTTCTCCATGTTGGTCAGGCTGGTCTCGAACTCCCGACCTCAAGTGATCCTCCCGCCTCAGCTTCCCAAAGTGCTGGGATTACAGGTGTGTGCCACTGTGCCCGGCCAGGAAAGATTTTCTAGAGTAGGAAAGACAGCATAAAGTATTTCTAGAAATCGGACCTGAAATCAGAAAGGTCTAGCAATTTGTCTGTTGCTACAGAGCAAAGGCAGAGGGCGGAAATTCTTCAACTCATGAGACAGTTGAAGACAGACCCTAACTCTTGATATGCTCCATGGCAAGAAAATGGAGTACCATATCCCCATTGGTTAGGTGGTAATGCCAAGGCCATAGAGGGGCAGTCATTGGCCCTGGATCACACTGCTAGTCAAAGCTGGCTAGTAGGATGTAAAGGAAAATAAAAGTCTCAGGGCTGCCAAATTCATTATGCCCAAGGTAAGCCTGGAGACTGAGTCATGCAACACTGCTGTCTGCTTCCCAAACTGCTGTCGTTGCTTCACAACCCGGTGTCAAAGCATTACACATTAGCCAGA